ACTTGCCGCTCGTGAATTCGGAAAAAGCGTTTGGGGCTCTTGGAGTCTCAGGTTTCGACTTCCCCTCGGGGTCCATGTGCCTAAATGGGGAGTACTTGGGTCGTAAAGTACCTCCTATGTGGGGACTTTGGGGCCCAAGCATATAATCAACCCTAAACCCTAATCCGAGCACCTGTTTAATCAATACCCCCACATTTAAAGAAATGTTTTTCGTCCGGAAGCCCGCCGGAAGACTACTTTCCATTCGGGTGGATTTCGTATGGGGATAAACCCCCCCACATTTAAAGAATTTTTTCGGGGGGGGTCCAAAAATCTGTCGGCAGGCTTCTTGTTTTGCTTGCAGAGATGCGAAGCTACAGCACCTCAGGGATCTGCAGCCTATTGTCTTTAATAGAGAATCAATGCAGGGCCATGGTCCAATTATTGCGGAACCCTGCCTTCCTTATTGCGGTGGGGGGGGGGGGGGGTGTGGGGCCCCCCAATTAAACAGGTGCTCGGATTAAACCCTGAACCCTAAACCCTAAACCCTAAACAGAGACTCGAGACTCAAGGTCCTGATCCATGGCGGAAAAGGTCGCCTTTCCACTCGGCGCCGCCTTTTCACAGTCAAGGGCACAAGTTCAGAGTTCAGATCCCTAAGTCCGAAGGGTTTAGGGTTTAGGGTTTGGGGTTTAGGGTTTGGGGTTTGGGGTTTAGGGTTTAGGGTTTGGGGTTTAGGGTTTGGGGTTTAGGGTTTGGGGTTTAGGGTTTGGGGTTTAGGGTTTGGGGTTTGGGGTGTGGGGTACACCCTACACCCTAAAGAGACACTTGTGCTCCAGAGTCGAGATGGGATTCCCCACGCCCGAATACCTAAACCCTAAACCCTAAACCCTAAACCCTAAACCCTAAACCCTAAACCCTAAACCCTAAACCCTAAACCCTAAACCCTAATCCCTAAACCCTAAGCCCTAAGCCCTAAGCCCTAAGCCCTAAGCCCTAAGCCCTAAACCCTAACCCTAAACCCTGACTTACTTTCGACCGTCTGTTAGACGTGCCGGCTAAATTGTTTCAAGATCTTGTCAGTAGACTACTTGTTCTGTTGTTTGCTTAACTTAACGCCAAAAAGACAGGAAAATTATCCCTATATTGCCCTTGCAAGGAGGAATAGTTCTTTATGTTGGGGGGGTTCGTAAGCAAATGGTAGGTTTAGGGTGTAGGGTTGGAAGGTTTAGCCAGTTTAGCCAAACTGGCTGGGGTACCTCATGTTGGGTAAGACCGAACCCTCGCCGACTAGTACGTAGTCTGACCTTGCACCTTCTACCAATCCCTGAGGTCAGAAGACACCGCCCATCACAACCGCCTATATTAAATGCAGACTTCCGAGGCCCTAAAGCGCGCGCCTAAAACCCTCAAAGCCTAGAACGCAAAACCCTAAACCCTAAACCCTAAACCCTAAACCCTAAACCCTAAACCCTGGACATGAAGTTAGCATATTCGAGTTTTTTGGGTTCCTGACGTTCGGCGTGAGGTTGAGCGTAAGTACATGGAGGGAGTGGGAGGGGGGGGGTCCCTAAACTAGGTTTCTTCTCCCCTAAACCCTAAACCCTAAACCCTAAAATCCCTAAACTGTCTATGCCTTCTAATATGGGCCTGATGGTCCTTTCCAACTGACGTGTTCGGGTGTAGGATTTTGGGTTTATGGTCTGACAAGACACTTGCACTGCTGAAACCGAAGCCCACGAACTGGGCGCATTGGCCGCGGCATGCAGCAAATGACTGAAGCGTTCACAAGCACAGGGTTTAGGGTTTGGGGCCTAAACCCTAAACCTAAACCCTATACCCCCATTAGAAGAAGAATGACCACATAAGACATTTCAGAGGGCTGTCCTGTACCCGAAGAACCCCGATGAGCCCAGAAACAAGCATGTTGTGGTAACCCCAAACCTAGATCCTGAACCCTGAACCCTAAACGCTAGACCGAAAAACCTAAAACCGGAAACCGAAAGCCTAAACCCCAAACCCTAAACCCTAGACCCTAAACCCTTAACCCTAAACCCTGAACCCTAAACCCTAAATTGAAGGGCTTCATGGCGCCTTCACTTCTGGAACGATGCTGGTCACGCTTTGGTCGTCCTGCGCCAAGGACCCAAGAAGAGACGAGAGATTCGGGCAAGGGGTTTAGGGTTTAGGGTTTAGGGCTTAGGGTGAGACATGTCCCTTAATGTGATCCAGGGTACGATCCCTAAGGGTCCATGCACCTCCCTAAACCCTAAACCCTAAACCTAAACCCTAAACCCTAAACCCTAAACCCTAAAGTACCTCCTATGTATGGACTTTTGGGCCCACATATATTAAACATGAGGTCCATGGACCCTTAGGGGATCCAAGAAGGGACATATAACATATCCCAGGGTGCTACCCCACCCTGTAGTCCCTAAACCCTAAACCCTAAACCCTAAACCCTAAACCCTAAACCCTAAACCCTAAACCCTAAACCCTAAACCCTAAACCCTAAACCCTAAACATAAGTAAGGCTTCGGGTTTAGGAGCTAAAGGTCGTGTAGCATGGCGATTTAGGGTTTTAATGTGGGAAGTTCTCCAAGCGGCAGTCCCCTTCGGGCGCCCGGGCCCCTGATAAAACAACAAAAATTGTATATATATATATATATACAATAGTATAATATATATATATATATATATATATAATAATGAAAATAATAATAACTATTATTATAATCATCATCATAATAATAATAATCGTGATATACAATAGTATAATAATAAAAACAATAATAATAAATAAATATAAATATATATATATATATATATATGCAGGTGTACAAGGCTTACGAGGCCTTGTATGGCCATGGGAACCCCGCAAGGGACCACCACTTAACGCTAAACCCTAAGCCGTAAATATTCGAGGTTTGGATCTCTCTTAATAAGCAGCTTAAATCTGCCCAAAGCACCTGGTTTGGTTTAGGGTTTAGGGTTTAGGGTTTAGGGTTTAAACGGTTTAGTAGGGCTTCTTCAAATCAACGAGGCCCTTGCAAGGGCAGAGCACCATTATTTTCTTCCCGGGCGTGGCCGCATCGTCGCTGGCGGGGCCTGCACCACCAAAAAAGGGGGCTTACAACCAAATGGATATAGGGTTTAGGGTTTTTTAAGGTTTCCAGCTACTATATAGGGCTTGGGTTGTAGGGCCACAAGGACGGCTGGACCTAGCCGCTGGGTCTGCCAAACCCATATTCCTGAAACTCTGAACCTTAAACCCTAAACCCTAAATTTTTAAACCCTAAACCCTATATATATATATATATATATTAGAGCGAGAGAGAGAGAGAGAGAGAGAGAGAGAGAGAGAGAGAGAGAGAGAAAGAGAGAGAGGGAGGGAGGGGGGGAAGTTTGTCCCTCTTGCCCAAACCCTTGCCGGCCTCGTTTGTAATCCTCGAACAATCTCTTCCACTAAGCTATACGGGTCCAGGGGGGTGTATATTAGGGTTTAGGGTTTAGGGTTTAGGGGTGTAGAATGCCAGGTTCGCGTCCTCATCGCAGAGTGGAGAAACTAGTGCAAACAAGGGCACGTAGTATATACTAGGTTGCTCAGTAACCTAGGATTAACAAGGGTGCCCATTTGTGCTGAAAGGGGTTCAGAGCCTAGACCCCCCCCAAAGGGAATAAGGGTACTACTGGGCAGCCTGGTATGGAACGTTGCCAGGCAAGATCCCCTGTCGCCCCGGATGATTCCTCTCAGGCATCGGTTTCGATTGAAATGGTTGAAACCCCAAACCCTAAACCCTAAACCCTAAACCCTAAACCTTAAACCCTAAACCCTAAACCCTAAACCTTAAACCCTAAACCCTAAACCCTAAACCCTAAACCCTAGCTTGGGGGTATATGCGCCCTAGCACCTCACTGGATCTTTGTGACGAGGACCCCCAAAAAGGACCCCAGTTCAGAGAGCTATTCTCAGGTCTTAGATGCTATCATGAAATCCACCAACTTACAAGACATCCCCTAACCTTACCTAAACCCTAAACCTTGGGATGTTCCCCCTGTATACTAACAGCCCTTAATAGGGATTATTCATATAGTGGACCCCTAAACCTTAAACCCCTAACCCCTAACCCCTAACCCCTAACCCCTAACCCCTAAACCCTAAACCCTAAACCCCTGGCCAGGCTGAAGAGCTTTTGCAGCTTCTTTGCAACGCATTCTCCGACGTCATCACAGCTCGAAGTGAAAAGCCGGCAGCGCAGACGTCGCGGCTGGATGCAAGAAAAGACCTAAACCCTAAACCCTAAACCCTAAAACCTTAACCCTAAACCAGATGATTCCGCTCTGCACACAAATCTTAAATCCGAACACTGAAGAACTACGCATTTGTCTAGTAGCAGTGTTCACAGGACGGCATTTGCCTGGTAGTAGCAATGGACGTCGCGGCTGGATGCAAGAAAATGAGCTGAACTCGACACGCAAGTCTTAAATCCGAACACTCAACTACTATTTGCTCTAAGAAGCCCCCCCAAAGAAATCAAAGATAATAACACAAAATTCCCTATATGCTATATTGCCCCTATAAGGAAGAATGTTTTTTCATTTTGGGGAGAATTTTCAGCAAATAGTAGGAACTTAAATCCTTAAATCCGAACACAGAAGTTCATTGCAGGCCCGACACCTCTCCGAGGACTGGAGCCGCAATGGGAATGCATTTGGGTAGCTGTCTCCTTTTGGAGGTTTAGGGTTTAGGGTTTAGGGTTTAGGGTTTAGGGTTTCGGGTTTCGGGTTTAGGGTTTTAGGTGTCGTTATGATAAGGATGCCGTATTCTGTAGGGGAGCGAAAAGGGGACCCAAATTTAGAGAGCTGCCTATTTGCCTGGTAGCAGTGTTCAGAGGACGGCATTTGCCTAGTAGTAACAATGGAGTAGTGGTTGCAGTCGTGGGTGTGGTGGTGGTGGTGGTAGGAGAAGGATTGATTTTGATAGGAGCAGCAGGAAGTCCCGTCGTCCGCGGACGTGAAAATCATGTGCATATCTCACCGCCGTCAGGTATGGGCCACCAAAGCACACCCCGTTGCGGGCTTATGTCATCATGGCGACAAAACCTTGGCTGACGTCTGAACCCCTCCTAAAACTTTGTGTAGGCCCCTTATTGTCGTTTCTACAAAAACCCAAAAAAGTTTTTAAGTCCTAAGAGCCAGCCAGAAGAAAGCCAAGCAACCCCAAGGCGTACACGAGGCCGTCTGAAAACACGATCAGGGCCAAGATGGTGTGGAACTGCGACAGGACGGCTGGGAGCAAATGCGCCCAAAAGGGTAGACTGCCAAAGTCAACAGGGCCATAGTTGAAGTCATGACTTTCCTGAGCTGTGCTTCAGAAAACCTTTTGAAAAATTATTTATGAATAGGCTCCCTTGTTTAGGTACGAAGGGAAATTACAAATTCTCCCCAAGCACAACCCAGTTTCACGCACTTCTAACTTCACGGACTCGACAGTAGCAAGGCGCTGCATTTCCGGATCGTGCTGAGCTGAACCTCCTAGGATGCTCAGTAACCCAGGATTAAAAAGGGTACCCTGTTTTTGCTTAAAGGGAACTATAAGGGAACCCGAACCCCCAAAAAAGGGAAATAAGGGCACTACTGGGCGTCCTAGCCTCTGGATGAGGTTGAACAAGTAGACTTTCGCGGTGGCTCTGGCACCACTGCAAGTGCATCCGAAGCTGCCTGTTGGCTAAGGTTGCTGAGTCTCCTTTCCTTGGCTAGACTTAGTCAAGGCTGCCCAGTAACCTCAGAAGAAAAAGGGTGCCCTTTTTTTACTCAAAGGGGTTTATAAGGGAACCTAAGCCCCCAAAAAAGGGAATAAGGGCACTACTGGGCATCCTAGTAGTAGGGAGCTATAGAGTAACTTTTAGCTGCCTTAGTAAGAAACCCAAATAACCCTAAAAAAGGCTCTAAGGATCGAAAGCTACAGTAAAGCACTACAAAGCTTCAATCTTCTTCTCGGACATGTGCTCCACCTCCTCATCGGTGGCGAACAACTTCACAGGCGAGAAGTCGACGCCCGCTCGCCACAGAACCTAGTTCATGCTTGGGATTGTATTAAAACTGAAATCGATTTTCCTTATTGGGTTTAAGTACCCTTAAACATGTAAAATGTTACCCAACTATGACAGCTTAGTAGCCCAGTAGCCATATCATAATCAGGGCACCCTTTCTTGGGTTGGGTACTTGATATAAGGGAACCTTGAACCCCAAAAAAAGGGAAAAGGGTACCACTGGGCCACCAAGACAAAGGAGCGTAGCTGAGCAGATCTTCCAGAAGCTCGCCTCCGAGGACAGAGGCCCAGACCACTCCCTCCGTCTCGCTCAGGACCTTCGTGATGGTAGCCCATGAACCAATCTCATGATGAGAGCACCCTTTTTGGGGTTGGGATATTTCATAAGGGAAACCAAAACCCAAAAAAAGGTAAAGGGTACCACACTGGGCTACCAAGTAGTTGCTGAGTTCAGAAGCCCCAAAAAAGTGAACGCTTTCAGTTCTATAGGGGATTGTAGTATCCCGAAGTTGCTGAGTTCAGAAGCCCCAAAAAAGTGAACGCTTCAGTTCTATAGGGGATTAGAGTATCCCAAAGTTGCTGAGTTCAGAAGCCCCAAAAAAGTGTACACTTTCAGTTCTTTCGGGGGTTGTAGTATCCCAAAAAGTGTAAAGTGTACTCACTCAGCTACGAAGAGACCGCAGGGTTGCCAAGAGAAAGGCGTGCCAACAGCACGGCGGCTACTGCTCCCATACGGGGATAGCCCATACCTTGGTAGCGGTCTAGGGTTCAGGGTTCAGGGTTTAGGGTTCAGGGTTCAGTAACCATACTACCTCTTACAACAAGGTTACCCTTTTTGGGGTTGGTTGGCTATTTATAGGGGAACCTAGAGGAAAAAAGCGTACCACCGGGCTACCGAGATACAATAACCTGCATCTCTCAGGAATTTCGATGCGTTTTTGGGCTTGTACCAGCCACGAGTGACGATATAGATGGCGCGGTCCACGCACCCCAGGCGCAGGAAAATGTTCCATACAACCTTTGCTCCCCTTTCGAACAGTCTAACAGATGTTATCGTAATACTCCTTCGGGCTTTATATGAAAAAAAGAAAAAATCATGCATAAGGAGAGAGCAGTAACAGAGCTGACGATCGGCAAGAGCAGTTGAAAGTCCTTGTTCTATGTAGAGCAGAGTTAGTCGCGCTCCTTCGGCCATGGCATGAAAGGTGCAAATGGATATGGAGATCACAACGCCTTGGTTTGTGTGCGCGTACTGCTCGCGCACTTCTTGCCGCATGATAAACTGTCTGGTGAAGTTACGAGCCGCCAACTGAGTGCCGATATACCTTAGCTTTGGAGTAGACCCTGGCAAAAAAAGTATCTACTTTTTAGGTAATAAGTAGCAAAAATAGGAACCCAGAACCGAAAAAGTATTAAAGTATAGTACTCCAAGACCCAGATACTCATAGGCTGTCAACAGCAAGGGCATGAAGATCCCGAACCAGACTCCAGCAGCATGGCGCAGCGCCAGGTAGCTAGACACCAAGATGCCGAATCCGATGATAGGCAAGAAATGGCAAGTAGGGGCCACGGACCGGGCGTACCGGAAGCAAACACAACTTGGACCAAAGAGCTTGACAAGAAATGCTCCGCTTGGCGATGACAAGAGGTTTCCGAAGATGAAGACCATGAAGCACCCGAGGGGCTGCCCCTCGTGGATGGGAAGAATCGTCAGCATGGCGTAGATGATCCATACCAAAATCTGTTGCATCCAAGCCGCTGGATACCTCGCCAGACATCGGCTGCCCTCCGAGTTCTGCGTTGCAGTGCAGCAAAGACCCGGCTCAAGGCCCCAAACCACGAAGTCCCGCAGAGGGGGCCCCGCGATTCCTAACGTGGGCAGGACAAATAGAAAGATCCAGCCGGCAAAGCGACACAAGAGTGTGAGCCAGCTGGGTCGAGCAAGGTCCTGCCCCTCGGCCAGCCCGAAGGCTACCAGGCCCACGAACATGAGGACTGAGGAGATGATGGAGGCTATGAGAGTGCTGCAGGCTGTTGGCAAGCACATCTTCACCCCCCTCAAAATGGGCATGGACTCACTGGAGTCCACGTCCCCAACCTTCGCCGCGGGCTCTGAGTTTTCAGGAGCTGGAGGCGGGGAAGTCTCTGGAGGTGGAACACGAGGAGGACAAACATCTGAGTTCGAGGAGCTTCTCGTCTCTTTGGGATGCACCCGGGCCATTGGCGCGCAAGGGAGGCGCAAAGAGGCGCCAGGCAGGCTCAACGGCGAAAATCTCTTGTACCAAAGCATTAACATTGCCCCAACATCCAGTTTTCCCCCACCCCCCCCCCGCCCACCCCAAACAAGGGGTAAAGGGAATTGGCAACCCTCGAATTTGGTACGTTAGGGTACGCTCAGCCGGTCTTTTCGCGACCTTTTCGTGTCCCTTCACAGCAAAGGGGTCTCTTGGTCGTGCATGGATGGTTCTTGCCGCCGTGCAGCTTGTCACGAATTTGGCGCTCGGTACTAAGACCTAAACCCACCAGATCCCACCGCTCCAACCCTAGAGCCCTCAACCCTAAACCCTAAACTGGCCCTAAACCCTAAGCCCTAAGTCCGAAACCCTAAACCCGAAACCTTAAATCCTAAATCCTATAAGCCCTAAACCCCCCCCCTAAACTGGCCTTAAACCTTAACCCTAAACCCTAAACCCTAAACCCTAAACCCCCAGGCTAACTTAGTCTACGTGCTTCTTCGTGACTATCCACTCACTTGGCTTGGAGTCTTGGAGATCCTTCACCACGGTCCTGAGCTTAGGGTTTAGAGTTTGGGGTTTAGGGTTTAGGGTTTAGGGTTTGGGGTTTAGGGTTAAGGGCTTGGGGTTTAGGGGCCCTTCTTGCTGGTCCAGTCTAGGGTTTCGGGTTAGGGGGTTTGTAGGGCTTCGGGTTGAGGGGTTTAGGGCACTTACTAACCAAATTCAATTGCACTTAGAACTCAAATATAGCCATATGAGGGTAACTAAGAGGCTTATAAGTGGGTTACAAGTACCGTTTTGATTGGCTATGAAGTACCACGAACCTCCGAGTAGGGGTTTAGGGTTTAGGGGTTTAGGGTATTACAGGTCAGGGATTCGACCCTTGAAAGTCAAGCCTATAAGCCCCTAAACCGGCCCTGATCCGAGGTTGCCCGTAAGTTTCTCAATACTTTCTGTTTGAATTCTCTAAATCAGGGTCCCTTTAAAGATCCTTATTCTAAGGGTGCCGTACTTTCTAGGAGACCCAGAAGGGCCCGCATTTAGAGAACTACCCTTGAAACAACTTGTCACAAGACCAAGTAGAACGCTACTTCCATGAAGGATAAACAAATTCAGTGTTCAGAGGTTAAGGTTCTTACCATTCTTGACAAAGCTAGTTACTCCCGTTTGCTTGCTCCCCGGCTTTCCTTCCCAAACCTCAAACCCCAAAACCCTAAACCCTAAACCCCAAACCCTGAATACTTGCTTCTTCGATTCTATAGAACCCTAAACCCTAAACCCTGGAAGTAGCCTGGTAATCAACAAGGTGCCCCTTTTTGGTTTAAAGGATATTCGGGAACCTAAACCTCAAAAAGGGAACAGAAAGGGAACAAGGGCCTACTCTGGGTCCTAGCAGCCCTATAAACTCTAAACCCTAAGCCTGAAACCCTAACAAAAAGGTCATGAGGGCCTACTCTGGATCCTAAGAGGGAACAAGGGCCTACTCAGCCCTATAAGCCTAAATCCGAAAACCCTAAACCCTAAATCCTAAACCCTAAACCCTAAACCCCAAAACCCTAAACCCTAAACCCCAACACATAAAGGTATTGAGGGCCTGCTCTGGATCTCGCACCTTCAAGCTCAAAACGGGCTTGTGGGTTGAGGGCTTTGGGTATCGCCGCTGATGGGATCTGAATCCTTTAAGGCTGAGGGTTTGGGGCCTTTTAAAGTTTAGGGTTTAGGGTTTAGGGTTTAGGGTTTAGGGTTTAGGGCCTTTAAGGTTTAGGTGTTCTTGGGGTTTGATTTGGGCTTTGGGGCTTAGGGATGAGGGTTGAGGGTTGAGGGTTCAGGGCTTAGCGTACACTTCACAGGCTACCCCAAGCTAGGGTTTAGGGTTTAGGGTTTGGGGTTTGGGGTTTAGGGTTTAGGGTTTAGGGTTTAGGGTTTAGGGTTTAGGGTTTAGGGTTTAGGGTTTAGCGTTTAGGGTTTGGGGTTTAGGGTTTAGGGTTTAGGGTTTAGGGTTTAGGGGACCTGCCACTCTTCTGATTCAGCCTACACCGTGTCAGATCCATCGACACCTCTAAAACCCTAAACCCTAAACCCTAAACCCTGAACCCTGAACCCTGAACCCTGAACCCTAAACCCTAAACCCTAAACCCTAAACCCTAAACCCTAAACCCTATTTGGAGCACAAGGGTCTTGGTGAAGATTAGCCACAGGAGGCCCAGCACGGCGCACCTCGGCTGTTACGGACTCTTCTCACCCGATGTTCCGAAGTTCGGGGTTTAGGGTTTAGGGTTTAGGGATGGGCGTTCTGGGCACTTCCTGCACCGGGCATGAGATAGGGTATACTAGTTGGGCCTTGCTTTGGTAATGGTCGTTATGGGATCCGAGAATCCCGATAACCCTAACCCCTTAGAGGGGTTTAGGGTTTAGAGCTTTTAGGGTTGGGGGTGTAGGGTTTAGGGTTTAGGGTTTAGGGTTTAGGGTTTAGGGTTCAGGGTTTAGGGGTCCAAACAGCCCGCCAGGGTCCACCGAAGCTTCCCCCCGAAAAAGTCCCTGGTTTAGGGTTTAGGGTCTAGGGTCCCCTAAAACTCCGCCACACTGGGGCGCACCCTAAGTATAGTTCTCAAGGGACAGAAATTCATGGGGGGGGAGGTACCTAGCAAACCCTGAGGAAAGCTTCGGGAGCCGTAGGGAGTAGTGGGGAGTCTTAGGGAACCTTGGGTTGGATACCCCTCTTGAACCTCTCTTTTTTAAGAACCCTATCACCAAAATACTCCTGCTTCTTTATACAAAACCCTGAACCCTAGGCTTCTTCGGTGCAGCAAAGATGCTGCCCGCTCACTCACTACTTACTTCAGGGTCTGATGGGATTCAGGGCAGGTGCCCCTTGGAAGAGGTTTGACCTAAAGGTGCACCCCACCTGTTCCTCAGCCTGGTTGGGTTAGGGGTTGTACGGTTTTGGGCTAGGTGGGACTGAATTTGTCGGTTTCGGGTTTAGGGTTCAGGGCTCGGGCTTCCCCCCCCCTTGCCCAAACTCATGACTTGCGAGCACGGGGGCAGTGCCGTCACCACGTAGAAGCCATCAAACTGGTACGTGCAAGTGTCGCCCTTGCAAGACAGGGCCTGGCAAGAGGCACAAACTCAAAGTGTTCTGCGTTTAGCGGCTTTGGGGCGTAGGGTGAAGAAATACTTGCGAATGACACTTGGGGTTTAGGGTTTAGGGTTTAGGCTTCAGGGTTCTAGGGTTTAAAACAGCATCATGGGGTTTTGGGGTTGGCTAAGGCGCGTTGGCGTCGGGAGGGCCTGAGGGCATTGTTGTTAAAAGGCCCAAGTCCAGTGTTGCATTTGGTAGAGCAAAGACGGGGTATTGGTAGTGCTTCGGTCCAGCTGTGATTGCTGTGCTTGTGTTGGACTTAAGGCCTAAACCCCAAACCCCAAACCCCAAACCCCAAACCCTAAACCCTAAACCCCAAACCCTAAACCTTTTTTTCCTCTTCGGAATTAGACCTGAACCCAGGTGAAGTCGGG